CCAGTGCAGGGAGATAAAGAGAGGTGTAACGTGGGCTCTTTTGGGCTCGTTGAAGACCAGTCATGTCGCTGCATTCTGAATCATTTGTAGAGGTTTGATTGTGCTTGATGGAAGTCCAGCCAGAAGAGCATTGCAGTAGTTCAGCCTAGAAATGACAAGGGCCTGGACAAGAAGTTGTGCAGCATGCTCCGTTAGAAAGGGCCTGATCTTTCTGATGTTGTGCAACAGCAACTACAGCAACTTAATTAGCAAGAGCTTCTCGTTTCACCTTTTCTGCTCAATAATTCAACTTCTTTGGTTCTTGTAAATAATTGATGTGGCTTAATTTGTTGCTGACATACCCTATGGCAGATGAAAAATAAATTGAATTTGCATCTTTGACCTTTCTCCTCCATTATTTTTCCAAAACATATGGGCTTACCTGTTCTTTCTTTATCTGAAACACACATCGACCATAATGCAACCCATCTGACTGATCAGTGAGTCAACCTGTGAAAATATGTGCAAGTTACAGAATGAGTCAGTTTTTTTGTAGCACTTCCTTGTATTTGCAGGGACTTCTTCCAGTGATGTGGCCCTTGTAGAGTACATCATTTAAACAAAAAAGGGTGTTTTTCAAATAGTTTAAGGGTTATGTAGTAGCTTTGTTCTGTTGGGACTTTGTTTTAAATCTAGTGTCACTGCATTCTGAAGCCCCACCTCTCTTCTTTTTACCCAAAGGACACTGCTCTCACAATATCAATGGGTGTGTTCTCACCATTCTTAGCGCTTAACTTTTGTGCCACAATTAGACTCAATAGACAAAGTACATTCCTTCAGATTAAAGGGTTAGTTCACCCAAAAATGAAAATTCTGTCATTAATTACTCACCCTCATGTCGTTCCACACCCCTAAGATCTTCGTTCATCTTCAGAACACAAATTAAGATATTTTTGATCAAATCCGATGGCTCAGAGAGGCCTCCATTGACAGCAACGCCACCCAAACTCTCAAGATCCGTACAGGTACTAAAGACGTCGTTAAAACAATCGACGTGACTACAGTGGTTCTACAATAATTTTATGAAGCGACGAGAATACTTTGTGTGCCCAAAAATAATGACTTTAGAATTAAGATATACATCATTAAATGCAAAAAGTCTGGCTGTGCTTAACGGGTACATGTTTGTACCCTTTAAGCGCACCCCTGTTCTAGGCTTGCCGCGATAGACGCAACACCGGTTATGTCACTTGCCCACCGATTTTTACTTTATTTAAACTTTGTCATTTATTTATTTTATCTTGAGAGTTTGGGTGGCGTTGCTGTCAATGGAGGCCTCTCTGAGTCATCGGATTTGATCAAAAATATCTTAATTTGTGTTCTGAAGATGATCAAAGGTCTTAGGGGTGTGGATCGACATGAGGGTGAGTAATTAATGACAGAATTTTCATTTTTGGGTGAACTAACCCTTTAAGTACTTGTGAACAGCATCTTCATCTTTTGTGCTGCTGCAGTCTTCTGAATTATTTTGCACAATGTATTTTGCATAGGGCAGGGTATCGCTAACTGCTACACAATACAGTACGCATCATGATACACGTCACAGTTCAAAATGTTGCAGTGCAACATGGCATTATAATTGAATCATGATTTTCAGTGGCAAATGCATAAGAGAAGCTCAGTGAATCAGTTTCAATCTCTCTGCATTTTTGTCCAAAACTGCAAGTCTTTCTGGACTCAAGACACATTGGTTTCAGAGTTCAGGCTTTAGATAACTTTCTTCTTGATTAACTGCAGAAAATTATGTAAATTAAAATACTCAAAGGCCGAAGTATCAATGTAATATTTTGAGAAAGTAAACTGATGAATGATTGTATCTGCACAGCTCTTTTGTATATATGTTTTTCAAACGCTGTAGGTTTAAAAGCAAATTAACAGGGTAACCCATCTATTGCATGAAAACAAACAAATGTAGGAATTATTATGGTTGGCGGTTTATAATTCTTAAAACATGTCTTCAAACAAGTCCAGGGTTTCCCACAGACTTGCACTCTATGTGTGGCGACATTTTCCCCAGGGGAAATATAAAAAATAAAAAATTATATATAAATTCATTCTCTGCCAGCAGGAGGCGCTTTTGGAGTAGCAGAAATAGTGGTTTCTCCGGTAATGACTGTACACAAAGCAACGCTGCGTTCATAAACGCTACTTTGTCTGGCATTATAGAAAAGATGAGATGAAAATGACATTGAAGCTTTTCTGAAGACAGTCGGTTCCCTTCAAAGATACATTCATATAAAAACACCCGTGCCGCATTTTGATTTTGAAACGTGCAGTGCTCATGTTTATTCAACGAAGTCAAATCCTTTTGGAAAATCTATTTGTGGCGGTCAGTTTTGATATTGTGGCAGGCCGCCACAAATAAATCAATGTATGGGAAACACTGAAGTCTCATATCATTTAGGCACAGGAAAGGAGAGATGTACTGACAGGCTGAATAGGGATATGGTGGCCTCATTGTCTAAAACTAGTTTATTGCTTGAGTTATATTTGGGATTAGAGTGTAACTCAGTTGATGGGAACCAGGCTCTCCAGCCTTCTTTCTCTGTGTCTCTGATTAATTCAGAGGGCAGGTGTCTCCTATTACAGGTTTGTCAGGTTTCTGGTTACCTCCTGTGCTCTTCTTGCCACCGGTGGCATCTTGCATTCACATCATCACTAGGACTTTTGTTTCTCTGACTCTCCTCCCCCCTCTTTTCTCTTCACATGGTGAATCAGCCTTGACCTACACTTGTTTCCGCAGAGTCAGATGTGGTTGAACTATAACAAGCATTCATGGCACATCGAACGCTTAATCAGTTCCTGTGTGAATGATTGTGGATTGTGTCGTTTGGGTTTTTAACTTTTTGATGCTATGCACTTATTTAGCTTATTATATACCTGAATTTGCAACTTATGGCAGAGTGATTTGAGGTTGAGTGCTTTGACCCCTTGCAGGGTTTAAGCTTCTGTTTTTCAGTTTATAGCCTGATCATTACTATTATGTGACACCATCTTCAGGCAGTCAAAATATTGTTTGCCAGTAGAAAAGAAGTTGCTGTTTAATTTGGACAGTAATTTAAATTGGATGATGACTTGAATGAGGTGTTTTTCTGCTCTATAGACCTTATGTAGCTCCACCTCTTTTCAACGCTGCGTTAGTTGTCTTCTGTCTTCCGTTTGTCTTTCCGCACCGTGAAGGTAAGGTTGTACAAATTTATGAATGAACGGCTTGTTTTAAAATCTTCATAGTCTACTGACATTTGTTATGACATCCGCTTCAAACATTACAATGCACATGATAGGGATGGGTCACAATTTTTGAATATTCGATTAGTTGATTTAATTCTAGAATATCGAATAGGTTGTGCGATTATTGTCTTTAAAAATGTCCCCATGTTTTCCGTGCTGATGCGGTGGTGACGCGTTCATGTTAGCAGAGGGTGGCGCTGCCAATAATGCACCTAAAAGCTGTCAAAGACAACAGAAGAACGCATTGTCTCATGCGCACACTGTAGACTTGCGTGGCATAAAAAAAGACTTGCGTAGCATATAATGGTTACAGTAATTTGGGACGATGTCAAATAAGAGCTATGTGTGGACCACAAACACCCCCAACTGGGTTAGAGGTGTACTGAATCCGTGATCAGAAATGCGCGAAAAACAAATAACGCGTTCTACGGAGCCACTAAAGGG